ATTAGGCTCCAGAGACATCTGTTTGACAAAACTATATGCCTCATCCACTCTCCCAGCACGCCCTAAAAGATCTACCATGCAAGCACAGTGTTCTATCCTAGGCTCTATCCCGCACTCCTCGGTCATCAATTTAAAGTAATACTGCCCCTCTTCTAACAATCCAGCATGGCTGCAAGCCGCCATAACTGATACAAATGCAATTGAATCAGGACTCACGCCTGAGTCTTGCATTTTCTGAAAAAGTGCCACAGCATCATGACCTTGTCCACACCTGCCATATGCAGACATCATGGAAGTCCACGATACAACATCCTGAAATTTCATCGCATCAAACACTTCTCTTGCATCTTGTAAACATCCACACTTCGCATACATGTCAATCAATGCATTCTCCAATAACAAATTTGGCCTAAGTCTCTTTCTCTCAACATATTCATGAATTCGCTTCCCTAACAACAGAGCTGAAAGATCCCCACATGCAGGAAGAACGCTGGCGATTGTGACTGCATCAGGTTCTATCCCACTCACCTCCAACTGTAAGAAAAGATCAACTGCTTCACCAGGCATTGAATTATTCACATACACTGCTATCATCACATTCCACGAAACCAAACTCTTTTTAGCCAATTTCATAAACGTCTCCTTAACATACAAAACATTGTCAGCTGAAGTATTAGTCACAGCCGGGAATAGGCTAGCCATGGTGCCAGCATCTGGTTTAAGCTTGAATGCCTCCATTTCCCTACCAACTTCTAATGCATACCCAGCAACCATAGAATTACAAGAAACCACATCTCTGCAAGGCATCTGATCAAGAACACTCCGAGCTTCCACTAAACAACGGCATTTTCCATACATAGCAATCAGACCATTTCCAATAAACAAATTCATGTCAAGGCCAACTTTCACAACAGCGCCATGAATTTGCAACCCGACCCACAAATTATCTGACCCAGAACATGCCTTTAGGACACAAGGGTATGTATAATTATCAGGGTCAAAACCATTGTGAGACATAGTTTTGTAAACAAGAAGAGCATCGTGGTACAAATTGTTGTTTACATAGCTCCTGATCATGACATTAAAGAAGACGACATTCTTCTCAGGAATTCTATCGAATAGGTGGCGTGTGATTCTTGGTTCTCCGCAGGCAGCATAAGCTCTCATGAGTTTGATCCCTAGTGATGCGTCCGAGCGGAGACGTTGATTGACAGCGATGCTTGCATGGAGTTCCTTCAACGTTTTTATATCTGGGTCTTGGTCCAATATTTTACCAAACACTTGAGCTGCAAGAGATGGGTCCCGAGGGACAGGTTCGGCTTTTCTGATCGATGATGTCAAGGCTTGTAGTTGTTGTTTGACAGTTGAGAATTGGCGGGAAATGGGAGTGACGACTTTCATGAATTGGAGTGTGGTGTTTGTGAAAATGGGTTTAGTTTAGACTCGCATGTTGGAAGACTCTGTCTGAACCCCTCCCCCAACAGAAAGGAACACTAAGCAGAAGAAAAAAAAATCACATATTTTTTGTTAATTTTTATGCAGTTCAAATTCAGAAATGTATAGAGCTGAGCAAATGAAATATTCGCGCAGTGATTACCAACGGCACTTTCATCTTGCACGTGGCTAAAAGAATAAAAGAATCATTTCACAGAAAATTGGTAATAAAATTAGAGTTAAAAAGAAAAGTTGCACTTCAATGAACTGGTTAAGTTGAGCGGCTTTTGGTTAGACTTTGCATATATATGCTTCCAGTGTCTATTTGGCAAATGCTTGGAGGAGAATTCACATCATTGCATTGCAGCTCCATTTCACCGGTCATCCTGAAACAATGCTTTAGAAACAGAAACACCGCATGACTCATTACCATAGTCATTATCTTCAAAGCAGCTGCCCCGTTGGCATGATCGTTTGTTTCCTGACATTGGGGTTTCACATACTCTATCATCACAGGAACCTCTATGGTCCTTCCTTTTAAACCGCTTTCGATGAGGATTTGACTTTGATTTCGATGCCTTCAGCTGTTTTGGGGCCCAAATTCTCTGCAAATCAGGCACCCCTCTCGTAAAAGAAGCAAACCTCCGAGCTCTCTCTCTCCTCCCTTGGGCTTCAATTAACTTGTGAGCATGCTCCTTCTGTTTAATCTCTTGGGCACTGGGTCTTGCATTATCAATCTTCAGCGGACGAAGGGGCTCATCTTCTGCTGATACTAATTCCTTGATTCCATTATTTTCATCCACTTCATCTCTCTCTGGTTTTTCTCTGTAGGATTGATTGCTATCCTCACTGTTGAGTAAATTATTAGGGGGTTCCTCATCAGCAAACAGCAACAAATCCATTTTTGTATAGATTCTGTGAACCACATCTTCAAGTGTCTCACAGTACCTGAAAATTTGGGAATTCAAAGATTAGTCCATCCACTTAATCTTCCTTCTTCAAACACAAATGCAGCGCCTGCACATGTACTTGTGGAAAACTAATGACAGAGGAATGGATTATGTAAGTTCCATCACCTCAACGATCATACTGTAGACAAATATGTTATTGCAAAAGCTGTATACGTATTCCACACTCATTCAGAGAAACATAGATAAGATGTGCATAACTGGCCTATATCTTGCAAATCTACACTAACAAGGAAATACGCTTAATTCATCTAGAATAATAAAGAAAGCTTCTTTCCTTAAATCTTGCATAATTGCACAGGTACGTAAGACAGCATTTGTTATATGAGTAATAATATCCCACAGGAAAGTGGAACAGTGGCACCGGATATGTGTATTTGTTGAGATATGAACAATAGATTGGATGTAGTGTGCTCTGGCCTTTAAGACAAAGCCATGAAGTCTCAAAAAAGCATTCATCCACTATTGAGTTTTCAACATCCATTATAGAAGGTAAAGATTACAATTCATGGTTAGGAGTTTTCAACTCTGGTACAAACTTATTACCTGCTTTTTATGATACTTTCAACGTAATCATCTATGCTCCAGTTACCAAAGAAGCCTCCATCCAGATGACACCGAATTTTCTCCAAAAATGAGCAAATATGTTTTACAAACTTCTGTTTCATAGACTCTGCAATACTTGCACCAACCTCTGACTGTAGTATCTCCATCCGGAAAAATATCTGCAATTCATATCTAGTACGCGTGAAGGAAAAGTAAACATAAGCCGAGACAAATTTTCACAATAGTTGAGATATAACTGGATTAATGCATAATACAAAAATTAGTTCAGTGATAAATAAGAAAGGATACTCTCGAACTATTTTTCCTGAAGTAAGTCCTTCAGATTCTGAACCAGATGCTTTAAAAGATAGACCACTGCTTTTGTGCCTTGCATTGATATCCTTGGGATCTCTCAGTAAAAGTTTTAACACCTCAGCAGCAACCAAATCATCAGTATCACCAGATTTTACAAGAGGAGTTTGACTCTCTGAAAGGGGTTCTTTGTCACGCTTTTGCTTTAACCAAAATATGGATGAATTCACAAGCCGATATGCCAAAGTCCCCAAGTCCACTGCTTCATATTCAAGTCCTTGTTGGATCTTATTGGATAGATTACTGAAAAAGTCTTCCGAGGTTTCTGATCTAAATTCCAGAGCAGCTTCATCCTGTATTCCGGAAGCCACAGTTAAAGAATTTTCTCCAACTGAAGCAGATGAAGGAACTGGCTGTTCACTTTCTTGGTGCAAGTTATCCAACCTATTGTCCATCTCTTTTTTATTGGGCTGGAATGTCTGGGATTCTTTCTCCATAATGAGGCTAGACTTTTTAATCTGTTTCATCCAGCATTTCAGAAATCTCATCTTTTTTGAGTTATTACATTCCCTGACGAAGTAAACCTCTTCCAAACCTAGCTCTGTGTGTTCAAATGCTGCCTTACAGAAGGCATTCCATGTGAGGTCTTGTAGCAAATTTGATTTTCTTTTGTTATTCCGCTTCCTTCCATCCTTGTCTGCAGAATGCTTATTAGATGGTGAAGGCTCAGTTTGATTCAAATCAGCATTCGGTTTGCAAATCTTGTTGTTCATCTTTGGACTTAATTGGTCCACATTTCCTCCACCATTATCATAAACTTTTTCCTGAGGGTGAAATCCTTCATCCACAATAAACAGCAGAGCCGAAGAAACTGTGAAAGGCTTAAGGATTCCCATATATGATACACCACTGTCATTTGAAAGAGACACTAATGCTCCCTGACCATACCTATATAAGAAACTCAAGAGAATCTCCCAAATCGGTGCCGATTTTCTCTGCGCAATCTCACCCAAGTCCATTTGTAGCATCTCAAGAACCTTATCTGCAAAAAGATTGACAGAACTTTCTTTTCCATCTTTACCAGGTTTTTCGGAAACTTCACTTACAAGAAGAGGATCAGATAAGTGCCCCTTGAATTTCAAAAACTCATTGTACTTTTGCAAAGCCTTAACCTGGAATTTTGTCACACCACTGCCAAAATTTTCCCAGAACATTTTCTTCAGTTCATCACCTCTTGGTTGTGAATTCATGATTTCCAGGGAAAAGAAAACATCGTCTGCTGTATTTCTAGGAAACATCTTCAAATCAACCAATTTAAGATCACAAAACTTGCATTCCAAAGGCTTCCCAATAACATCTAATATCTCGAGACTCAAATGCGTGTAGACTTTCTTATGACAATCATTACAACCAAAAAACTTCGGTGAAATCCCAATCTCCGGATAAATCAATCCAAAAGGAACAAGAGCAGAACCAAGAACAATTGAATCCGTCGAACAAAATCCCCATCCCAAACTCCTAATCCCACTCTTGAGAAACCCAAATCGCATCCTATCCTCATCATTCCCAACCTTATCCTGACCACATTCTAATTTGTACCTGACATCAACCCAACCACATTGAATATCTCGACTGACAAATGCATTATTTACATTCTCAAATAAACCGTGAAATCTCTTGCAAAACACATTCACATTTTCCAAAGACTCATCATCCACTCCCACATTCAGGAATTCTGACAAACAGTTTACAGACATACAAAGGGGCGAAAACAGAACAACTAGATTAGACCTTACAGCAACAGAATCACAATTTGAAAACATACCCGTGGCTGAATCACAGATCACGGGGTCCCAGGCATAGTCATGCACGAGCTGGTGCAAGGAGGCGGCGAGGCACGAAGCCCGGGGCGTAGAGGAATTAGGCAATGACGGGTCTTGGTGAAATGCGGGGAGGGAATTGAGGGCTTGGGAGAGGGAAACTAAAGTGTGGGTAGGGAGATGAAAAGAAAGGGAGAGATAAGTGGGGAGTTTGGAGGAGGAGAGCAGTGGAGAGAGAGATGAAAAGAAGAGTCTGAAGGCAAAGAGAGAAGAGGCGAGTGGAGGGAAGGAGAGAAGGGTTTTAACGGAGGAGAGGAGAGAGGTCAGAAATGGAGTTGGGTCTTGGAGATCGAGCAGTGGGTTTAGGTCTACGAGGAGCACTATGCGCTGCGTTTGGCTGTAGTCGGTGATTGGGTCACCGGAGTTTGGATCAGATGCCATCGTTTTTTTTTTTTTTTTTTTTGACACACAGAGAAAGAGACAGACTTTGGCTACAGAGAAGAAGTGGGGTGAAAATGAGGAATTAAGGGAGAGGCGGAAGCAAAAATACGACGTCGTTTCCAGGAGAAAAACGACGGCGCAGAAGACGCTTGGGCGGGAAACCAAAATTTGGCGGCAAGGAATGTTCCTGAACTGATTTAAAGTGAAGGGAGGCCCATAAGGCCCAAGGTACTGTACGATACTGTAGCCCACTTGGCTGATTTGGGCCACTTGGCCCATCTCAATTCTCCTTTTTCTTTTTCTTTCTTTTTCAGTTGAAAAAAAAGGGTAGCATTTTATTGTTGTGTTGTGCTGCTCTATCCTTCCCCAAACTCAAAGATGGAAGAATATAATGAGCTTGGCGTGCTCTGTTTCAAACTCTCTCTTCAAACCTGAAAACTGCAAACTTCTCCCTCAAATTCTCAAGTCTAAATTGGGTATTAATTAAAAAATAGAATCATGTACACCATTTCTGTTTCTCAGTTCATCATCTTCTCTTCTATGCCTTCCTCAATTTTTCCAAGATACCCAACTCCTTATCCTTCACTTTTACCAAAAATAACCCCATATCCCCTCACTCACTCTTCAAGAAAGCTCTCAGTCTCAGTATTTTCAAAGCCCTCTGAGGCAGAAGAAGAGCTCTCAGCCCCGGAGGACGAGTGGCTGAAGAGGCTACCGGACAAGAAGAAGCCTCTGTACTCTCACAGCCTCCCTTGCATTGAGGCCTGGCTTAGGAACTTGGGGTTTTACCAGAGCAAAGAGGACCGGGCCGTTTGGCTGGTTGAGAAGCCAGAGTGGCAGGCCCAGCTCTCACTCGACGTCACCGATCTCTATGTAAGGTTGGTTTTCTGTTTTCTCAGCCGGGTTTCTGCTATTTTGTGTTTTTGAGATTGGCTGTGTTCGTGTAAAAGTGTTTTAGTTTGAGTATTGGATGCTTGATTGGTTGGTGGTGTAGTTAGGGTTTTAGAGATAATTTTCTAGAAAAAAGTTCATGAATTTAATGAGATTCAAAATAAATTTATACACTTTACACTTTGTTTTGTTGTGATTTCTCGCCTGGTTGTTGGGCATGGGTCAAATTGAGTTATACATATTCTATGTTGGAGATAAGTGCTTACACTGTTAATGATGCAAGAGACGATTGAATTGGATATTGAATTTTCACTGAAGGAGTAGTGTACATGGTGAATTTTTGCGGTGAGACTAGTCACTCTCAAATGGTGTAAATGCTACCTAAAGTAGACACTTGTTTTGGAACCAGCGCGACTGGGATTGCAGGCAATAATGTCTATTCTCAGAAATTTGGGAAAGGTGTCAACTTGTGGTTACAAGGCTCCCCTGAAACTGTAGAATAGGAATGGTATGACTCTTGTGCTATAAATGGTAGGAGAGTTTAGGATTGGATATGCTGCTAAGTCTCCTTATCGCATCCAAAGGTTCTTGAATAGTCAATTGACACTGTCCACTTGATGCCATGGGATAGTTATACAGGATAGGAAATGGTGGAGATGGTTGAAGGTGGGAAGCTTGAGGTTGTGGGAAGAGATGGAGGTGAAAACGGGGTAGACGAATGGCTGAATACTTGGAAGTGTTCATATTACCCTGCACCGGCTCTAGGTTTTCCCATTCACGTGGCTCTGTATCCTCCTTTCTTTTCTTCTTGATGATGCTCTATTTTTTTATTTTTTTCTAAACATTTTTGTTATATCAAATGTTACCGCTGTTGGATACTGCACTTGTGATGCAGGTATCTAAAGACCGGACCGGGTAATCTTGAAAAGGATGTGGAGAGGAGATTTAGTTATGCACTGAGCAGAGAGGACATCGAGAATGCAGTGCTTGGAGGACCTTGAGGACAACAGAGATTGTTCCTGCTGGCCTGGTTTTTGCTCTTCTGAATTTATTGAGCTCGTGAAGGCACTGATTACCTCATTGGTTGATGGACTTGTGTGAATAGGTTACTTTCTATTCTTATGAAAGTACCTATCAGCCTATCCATACGAGAACTTTGAGATAAATAATGGGCTATTTGTTAGTTGTAACTTAAACTAGTTGTGTGATAAGAGCCTTTGTGATCAGAAGAATTATTATTTTAGGTTAGAGCTAGGGAGGTGCTTAGTGGTGCAAATGCTGTAGACAATTTTCAAATTGAATGTATACTTCGTTTGGTAATAAAATTGAATGTATACTTCTCTTTTATTAATACTGGATTTTATTTTCCTTCTCTTGAGTTTCACATCTCCTGCAAGAAATGACTCTGTTCTCCACTAAGTAGCCGATTATTTTTCATTGCCTTAAGGCCGGGATTCAGCTACACAACCTAGAACATGATCTCCCAATCCTCATCTCCTCCCCCCACTTTGCACTTCTCCAAGCAAGCAATTATTGAATAGTTTGCATCAATCCTGCTTTTCATCATGTTTCATCTCTCTGCTACCCCATCCATACACTCATTGTGATTCTGCAGATTGGAGATGAGACCAGTATTCCTTGACAAGCTGCCCAAATAGCGAGCCTTCCCTTTTCATTAACTTCATTGGCTCATCATACTCCACTATTTGTCCTGAAATGGATAAAAGCATTCCCTACAGTTTTTTCTGGTATTTCTTGAACAATTATGATTGAATAAAACAGGCGTATATTCTCTGCTTGGGTGAGAAGGATATTTAAGAGAGAGGATATCCCAGGAAAGAAAACAGAGGATATAGAGAAAGTGAAGCTCACCATCACTAATGGCTAGAACCATTGTGCAATCCATCACAGTTGGTATCCTGTGAGCTACCGTAATCACGGTACAATCTGCAAATTCGGTCCGTATAGTTTTCTGCAGAATCATATCAGTGGCGTTGTCGATTGATGCTGTTGCTTCATCAAGACAAGTACCCGACTTCTCCTCAAAAGAGCACGCCCCAAACAGAACAATTGCCTTTGTCCCATGCTCCAATTTGATCCATCATCTACAACTGCAAAACAGGTCAATCAGTCGCTGCTGCTGATCACAATTAACAGGAAAAATTGCACATCACACACTGATATATCAAAACTTACCTGAGGAGTCTAAGCCACCTTTCTCCTGAACAGCGTCTCGAAGCTGCCACTTCCCAAGAACCTTCATAATGTACAGATAACTCTTTGCTTAGAGAAATTTGCAACCATACTTTCAACATTCAAAACCGAATACTACAGAAAACAAGCATTATAGGACTTGACTAGTACCTCCCATATTTCCTGGTCTGAATGTTGGGATAAGGATGTTATGACTAGTACCTCCCATAACATCTGCTAGCCGGTTAAAGGAATGTAGCTTTGGCTTAGCATTACCTGTAGGCGAATTGCCAGATAGACCATTGGTATGCAGACCAAGAGAACTTGCCAGGTAACAACAGCAAGTACTGCGAGATTGGAAGAAGCATTGATGGCAGCCCCACAAGCAAAGACTAAGTTGAATGGAATATTGAGATCTACGATACTCAGATCAGATGAAACCTATACGAGAAAAGGCGTCCGTAAAAGTATTAGTTCCTTGAATTCCTCCTAACATATAACCAAACTTTCTGTTTGAAAATGCCTACCCGACTAAGCATCCTTCCCAGAGGTGTTGAGTCATAAAAAGACGTAGGTGCATGGAAAAGGGAGTTTAGTAGCTGTGAGAATAAAGACTTTGATGCCTCAAGACCCAAAACAACTGTTGTAAGAGACCTGAACAGCAAAAGAAATGTTGCAGAAAATCCAATCAATAAGTAAACCACGATCAATCGCAAGGTGCTAACATCGGGATTATCAACATTAGTAGCCATCCAAGAGTTCTGTACTATCTGACGAATAATGAAAATGAGGTGTAAAAAAACTGCCGTTGAGAAGTACAAGAGCCCACTCCTGTTTCAGATACTGTATGAATGGCTTCAAACCTATGTCTCCTGTTTCTCTCTTCTTGTTTGATCAATTGGTCACCTTTAGATGCAGTTCTGGTGCCTCAAGGAATTTTACAATGCGTTCAAATGCAACCTTGGCTTGAATGACAACCCCAATAACCTTAGGAATAGATCTAATGGGGTTCTGAACAAGGACAGCTGCTACAAAAGTGAAAACATTATTTGCATGCAATGGAACCTTGAGAAAGTAACATGCTCCAAATGTTGCAGCAGAGACCAGAACAGGAGATGACCAAAACAGATAGGTAGTATATGCTTTTCTTAACTGCACTACAGACAACCATTTCTGCTCCTCCTTCCTTAATTTCTCTATTGCATTTTTGAAATGGGTTTCCCATGCATATAGCTTCAACGCCTTCATGTTCACAAGTGCCTCAGAACTAGCCTTCAGTCTTTCATCTTGGGCCACCATAAGCTTACTCTGAAACTTATGTTGCAACTTAGCAAGTGAAGCATTGCAAACCAGAGTCAAAACTATCACCACCAATGATGCAAATGTAGCTAGTCCAACGGCACGGAAAAGAATTACCAATGCAAGACACAGCTGGAGGACAGTTGTCCAAGTTTGATGGAACCAAAATGGGAATTCACCAATCCTATAAGCATCCACTGTAAAATAGTTCATTATCTCACCACCTGAGTGTATCAACTTAGCAGCATTAGACAATCTCAATTGCTTCTTGTAAATGGCTGCAGTGAGCAAAGACCTAATTTTCATACCAATAAGCCTGGATCGGAAGTACCACGGCCTTTGCGATAAGGATTCTATGGTCTTCGAAAGGAAAAGTGATAAGGTTAACGCATAACCTTCATATCTGAAACTTTCTTTTCACTCAGCAACCAAAATGAAGGCATTAAGCAGCAGAGGAGCAGCAGAGAGAGTGAGTCTTTAACAAAGCAAAGAAACCAGACAGGAAAATCTTTTTCATCAATGAATTTAGCCACCGAAGTGAGGCTTTACTGAAAAATCCAGCTTTGCTAATCTGATTGGTCTCACCAGAGGCATATAAAGGTTATTGCTATCGAGGCTTGAATAACCATCATCATATTTATAGCCCTTATAAACAGATAACAGCAGCAATGTTGCTGCTGGAAATGACAGGACATCTAAAACAGTCTCCACATAAAATTCTTTTCTGAAAATGACCGAAAACAGCGATAGAGGATAGACAATTCCAGAAAACAAGAATGCAAGGATAGACAGCAGCCTTGACGGTTGTCTTGGAAGTTGTTTCCCCCGGATGCTTATAGTTAAACCAACTAACAACCATGTGAAGCCTTGACACAAAGTAGTAGCCACCAATTCAAAGGCAAAGCAGTATGTGTATTCCTCAGCTTCTCTTCTAAAGTCCAGATGCCCAAGAACAAGTAGACAATTCCAAGGCAGCCACTAACAATGGCAGAGACCATTTGCAAACCCGAAAAGCCTTGAAATCGGGGAGGAATGTGAACAGCTTTTGATGAGGACTCTGCATCCATCGTCGGCACCTCAACTGTCTTGAAAGCCTTTTGAATAGTGGAAGGGCCCTGAAGAACTCTCTAATTGGAAATGAGCACAGTAGTCAAGACTCAAGTGCATGCTTGCATGTCAAAATATCCTGACAGCAAATTGAAGACGAATGTGATATTATGACATCAGAATGAGCATAATATCATATATACTTACATAAAACTAATATTGGGTTTCTAATTGGAAATGCATATATTAATAAAACTTGTCCTGTATAATTAATTAATTTGTCTCATTCAATTAAATTAAGACTCATCGGACCTAGCTAGTTAGCTATGAATCATAAAATGAAAAGATATCATAGTATATATATGTGTGTGTGTGTGTGAATTATTTCAAGCTGATCTGTAGTTGTGCAATTTGTTGTTGAAGCTACAGAAGGGTCTGGCCAAAAACTGGAAAAAGATATGAAAGAAGGCATCCCCCACCCATCCATGTATATTATAAGGTCCAAGCCATTAACTGATCAACCACCCCAATCAATGGTTCTGTGATCTGCAAAAATTGCAGAGCATTGAAGAGGTTACATATTCATTTGTCCATCGATCAGGAGCAACCCGGGCCTCCAGTCCCATATAAAGAAAGCATGCAGTTCATCCAAGTCCACCCCAATTTAATTCAGAAGATGCATACATAACCTGTTTTTATCTTTTATTTTCCTCTTTTCGCCAAGTTTAGAAGATGCATGCCGTTGAGGCATTTCTTTATTAAACGTCAGGTGGGGGCTGCTGTAATTGTTGATGCAAAAAGGAGCCAGAAAAAAACATAAATTTTGATTATGCATGTGTGTTGCTCATACAGGATCATCTTTATTAATCATTCATTGTACAGTGTGAGGATCATACTGGTACGTAGTGTTACTAGTCTAATATATTATAATATGAATATACGACAAAATTAATAAATAAATACACATTCATTATATAGATCATAATTATTTATTTTAATATACAACCGACAGGATCTGAAAAATATGGTAGTGCTAGTAGATACAGATCACCATCATCTTTTATGTGGACGATTTTATCATTTTTAATACCCGGCCCAAATGTTTTCACCCACCCAATCTTTTATAATAACTCTGTTTGGCCTTTGTCCTGCCCCTTACTTTTCACTTTTTTTTTTCTTTTTCTGCCATGCATAATTAATAAAGGGTTGAGATTGAGCTGGTCTCAAGTCTCGGTGATTACGGGACCATAAAGAAGGCCATTACATCTGGTAATTTTACCATTACTGTTAGCCATAATGATCTAAAAGTGATTCTTTCTGTTTTTCCCCTCTGTTATTTGTTAGATGTGAAAGAATGAACGGGAAAAAATAAACTCAACCCACACTTGACAGGTGAGCATTTCATGTGTTTAATGTACAGAGAGTTAACAAGTTTATACGGAGACAAACTCTTAGCAAGATAATTATTAATAAAGTATTTATTCTATACAAGATAACTATAACAGAAAATAGTAAACACAGATAAAGCTTAGTAGCACGAGATCACGTTAAGTCTGGATTAAGTTCATCAAGATAGTTGTTGGCCCAGTCTAACATAATCAACTCTTGAAATAGTGCCAATTGTTTAACATCAAAAGTCCCTAAAAATATTCCTAATTCATTACTCAGCCAACAGTAAATATCATTAACTTTTTTTATATAAAGTAATTTTATAAGGGCCAATATTTTAAAATAATAAAAAAGACAAAAAGTAATAATGTCGCTTTGAGGGTTCTCTACATAGCAGGGCATGTCCCGAGAAAATATATGACC